AATGCTTTATCAACTTATCATTCAACAAGTTTTTAAAGCGTTACTAATCACTTCATTAATTGAAACATCGAAATTTCAATTTTTTGATCAAAGATCTTTTTTTTAAGAATGAGTAGACCTCGACTAAATGCTTTATCAAGTTATCATTCAACACATTTTTAAAGCGTTACTAATCACTTCATTAGTGAAACATCGAAATTTCAATTTTTTGATCAAAGATCTTTTTTAAAAATGAGTAGACCTCGACTAAATGCTTTATCAACTTATCATTCAACAAGTTTTCAAATCATAACTAGCTGAATCATATAAATTTCTGTCACTATAGTCTATGACCCCAATGTCATTTCTCTGGGGTTATCGAATAGTTAACTACAGCTGATATGCTAACCACAGTCAAAATACAAGATCATGCAGTCACTGCATGTACACATTAAAGAGGCATTCCACTTTTTTTGTAAAACATTTTCATTATCAAAAACGCTGTAAATTATACCTGAAAATATTTCTAAAGTATGCTATATATATCTAGGTATCTTCTTGATCAAACTGAATTTGCTTTAAAAGGGTTAATTAAAAACAGAGAGTACTAATTGTAAATTAAGCAGTTTGACCTATTTTTGGTGTTTGGTTTTATAATTGCTCGACTTTAAAAAATTAATGGCTGAATTGTTTTAGTTTAAACTTTCAGATACGTTAAAGAATACATGCCTCTACATTTTGGTGCAGAGTTTTCACAAATTAGAGCAAATACATTTTTCGGCCTACAAAAAACGTGGCAGGCATGTCCCTTTAATATATAAGACAAGACTGACAGTACAAAGTCACTTATATTTTGATATGATCATTAAACAAAGTCATACTTTTAAGAAAAAATAACTTATACAAGTCATGAACTTGTCAAAGAAGTTAAGGTAGTGTACAGAAGTTTTTAAACTTTTTATGTGTATCTGGGACACTGATAGCGTCAATTTGCACCATTTCAATTTTCAATCAGTTGTCTGTGGTTCCTGCAATTCCACTAAAACTAAGTGTTTGATGACAGAAATGGACCTATCATAATATGAACAGATTTTGCAAGGTGACATTTTGAAACATTAAGTTTTAGTGGAATTGCAGGAACCACAGACATCTGATTGAAAAATGGAAACCTGCTAATCAATTCTATTAATACAAATAAAAAATTTAGAAAATCTCTTAACAGTCCAATTGCAATGTAGCATGAACCCCCTTAAAGTTTTCAAAATATATAGAAAAATTAAGAAAAAGGATTTGATTGTTAACACCATGTAGTGTGCAAGGAGGCAAATATTGCCAAGACTATGACTGAGTTAGCTTACTTTTTTGCAATTTTGCAGTCCCATCAGAATGACTAGACGCTTTTTTCATGTCATCTCCCTATAAAATGTATCACTGAGTAGAGGAAACAGGTTTAAAAATGTTCAGGGTAAGAACTAAATCAAGTCCCAGACATCCAAGTTAATGAGAAATGTCTAACTTTTAAGCAGATTAACATTAAAGAAGCAAACCCACATAGTTATAATGTCATTAGTATAGTAATGTATTCCATATAGGAGCCATGGTGACTTAGAGGGATTGTAAAAAACTTTTAAAGTACAAAGATACTGATAGCATCAATTTGCACCATTCCAAATTTTCAATTACAAAATTCTGTGATTTCTTGCAATTTCTCGAAATCTAACACAAAACATTCAGTAAAGCATTTCTGTCGGAATGACGCACAAAGGGCAAATAAATGAGACTGATACACATAAAAAGTTTAGAAAACCTCTCAACAATCCTTTTCGGCAACCTTTTGGAAAAAATTTGCATACTTATTAACATCGTAACTATATGGGTTGGTTGCTTTAATGTGAAATTGTTTATTTCAAAGTGAGAAGTACAAAAAATTATGAATATGTACAAGAATAATTGAGCTAATTAAAACTTCGTTAGCACAATACCCAATATGAATATTTAATTAACTGGTTGATAGCATAAATGAATGAATTAATTATAATAATTCATTCATAATTCTAAAATTTTCAAATTTCAATATGCAAGTATAGGCAATAATTTTCAAAATTTTTCAAAAAAAGATTTTAAAATGTACATATTGTATGGTATGTTCACTCAAAGCAGTAAAACAACACATAAAAAACAATCTTTTGTTAAAAATAATGCACTTATTATAAAAAACTCAGCTATTTCAAGATTTTTTTTTTACTTTTATCATGTTTTTATTTGAAAATAATGTTGAATATCTCTAAATAGAATAAAAATGGCGAGTTGACCCAGGTACGTATTACTTAACACAATTTTTATTCATACAATTTTTACTTAAAGGGATCGTAAAGAGGTTTTCAATTTTTTATATGTGTATAAGGGACACTGATAGAATCGATTTAAATAATTCCAATTTTCAATCAGATGTCTGTGGTTCCTGCAATTCCATTAAAACTAAGTGTTTGATGATGTCACTATTGCAAAGTTTTTTACATATTTATGGCAGCATTTGCAATTAGCTACATAACAAAACACTAAGTCTTAGTGGTATTGCAAGAACCGTCGACATCTGATTGAAAATTAGAACGGTGTAAATTGATGCTATCAGTGTCCCTGATACACATATGAAAATTTTGTTAACAATCCCTTTAATTGAAGTTGGAAAGGTGTATACAGATGCTATCAGAGTCTGATATACATATAAACAGTTTAGCACACATTTCTTAACATGTTAGTAGAATTTCTATTATCATGTGAATTTTGATAAGTGATACAGATAGCTTAAAATGCAGTCTATTAAATAAAGTAAAGCAAAAAAAAATATTAATGTGAGTCAGAAGAAATATAATATTGAAGCTGCCATATTTTATAACTTTAACATAATAGTTAAGTTGACATGCATGTATTATGTATTCAGCCTAGCACAACTAATATACTTATCAACACATAGCCTGTAACGCTTTTTAACTTATAACTCAGTTACTTACAAATACAGACTGCCCTTAAAAATATCTTGGCTCAACAAATTAGGGATCAATTCCTATTAGATGCTGTAAAGTTATACCATGTAATGCATATAACCAAAATTCTTATAAATAAATATATCATAAAGTAATAGCCTGTAATGCTTTTAAACTTATAACAAAAGAAACTTCTTTTCCTATTTCTATAGATGTCTTTTTTTCTATTTATGGCAGTGTCTCAAGAAAAAACGAGTCAAAGTTTTCGATGCAGATAGTTCTGGAGACACAGAGATTTGAAGACTCAAATTTCGATGTGAGACATGAACACTATTACTGATTAACTTAGCTAAAAAGAATTTGTTTCCAAGACTACAAAAATAGCACATTCAAATAATGATTAACAAAATTGACATGCAAGAAAATAACACATATTCCCAAAAAATGCCTAACCCTTTGAACCCTGAATGTAAATGAAATGTAACGTCATATACCCTGAACTCCAAGTAATAAAAGTAAAAGTGTATGACGTTAACGTTGTATGACATCACTTAGTAACAGCTGGCTTACCGTCTGCTCGGGTATATATTGCGTAAGTGTGTGGCCGGTAAACAGACCTCTAGGGTTAAAAGAGTAAAAGGAACAGGGATTAAATCATACCTTGGTCTCAGAAACGAGAATTGTAATTGTACAGTAATAGTGTTCACAGCTTACCATTAGAATTTGTGTATTCAGAATTATCAACAGTTTAACTAGTTGCCATTCTAAGAGACTATTTATTTGAATATTCGTTGATGATGTCATATGTATACAGTAGACTCAATCATCCTGTCTCACTTCGTCTATGCAGAGCTGCGACGGAAGATGTCTTGGAATCAGAGACTATATCAACAAGACGTTCAACTTTCGGATATCCCAAAATTTCAGAGAGAAAAGAAGCTTGTGAGCGAAATAAATAAAAAGTTAAATATCTTGTTTGAAGGAATTATGCGATTTTCATACAATTTTAGTAGTTCTGAAGACTATTTACATATATTCAAGGTCCAAATCAACCCCCAGTAAAGCTGCATGTATTCATTTAAATGTATATGCCTAACAATGTGTTCTTTCAATAAAAAAAATCTACAGACAACTAATCCTCGAAAACAATACCATACATTAGATCAAAGTAAAAATCGCAGACATCAAAAAATCTAAAAAAAACAATAACAGATAAATCATTCAAAAAAATCTCAAAATGCACTGCGCTTTTTCAATTCCAAAACCACTTACATCAAATCCGAGTAAATGATACACACACTGAATCAAATAACACAGCAAACCACACACACATTGAAATAAATTTAAAAGAAATGCCTTAAAATGCAGAATAAAACATTAAAAAAAAGCCAAAAATTGTACTTGTATATTCAATCCAAGAAATCAATTCTCACCTAAAAAAAAAAGTGATGCACATGTGTCTTTATTAAAAACACACACACATGTTTAAGTTTACAACACACATCAAATAAATAATTACAGACCCATAATATATATGTAAGGTCTATATGTATATTGAATCCAATAAAACAAACACAATAATCGAAGTAAACAAGCCACCAGACACACATAGAACACCTAAATATGTACATGTAAAAGAAAACAACACACTCCCCCCCCCCTCCCTAAAAAAATGCCTAAAAGTATACATTCAATTTATGAAAACAACAAACACATAAAATCAAAATAAACGAACACACACACACATATGCATACACATAAGAAGAACTGATAATTTATATAATTATATATATGTCCATTCAATGTATGAATTTCATAGTATGAAAACAACACACACAGAAGTTTCAAGTTAACAATACACACATCAAATCCAAGTAAACAACACACACAAATCGAAGTACACACACACCAAGACAAATACAATAAATAAAAGAAATGACTAAAAATAAAGAATAAAACTTTAAAAAAATGTGCATGTATATTTTTCTTCAATTCCAAACAACACACACATCAAATCAAAGTACACAACACACACCCTCACACACACACCCTCACACACATCAAATAAATAAATATCTTACCTGTGTGGATTCGGACATGTTGTTGAAGGTGTGAGAGTTGTTTAAAACATTTATCACAATAAGAACATTGATGGCGACGTATTCCATTATGTACCAAATCATGCTGACTCAGCTGTTGTTTGCTGCGGAACGGTTTCAAACATGTTGGACAATGGTGAAGTTTGTCTCGTGTTGGTTGTGAAAGTAAATTTTGTTGTTGATTGCCGCCATTACTGTTGTCTGCTGACTGGTTAGGTGTCTGCTGCTGTGGATGGTGTGACGTCGTGGAAACGGGAGGTGCCGGTAATGGTGGTAACTGTGGCAATTCGTTCTCTCCTTCTCCCAAATCCTCCCTGTTAGAAGACATTAACCAATATGTTAAGAATAGTTTAAAATTTTGATAATACGGATCCATTTCGGCAACCATATGTTAAAAATCGGTTAGTATATCCGCAGAATTGTGTAAAACAAGCAGCTAAACTGAGACAAACTCCACCTAACTAACTCTATCCGTCCGAATTTTAAAAAATAAGCAGACTATATAGAAAAAAATCTTTCTATGATAAAACGTTCTTTATTACTAGTAAAAAAAACAGCCTCTATTGAATTGCAGTGTACTTTTTTTTATTCGTTGCAGCTGTTGTGAAAGGCAGAATTGGTATTGGGTTTGAGTTAGGAGGCTCTCTAATCTCGAAGGAAGAATAAAAATGCAACTTTTAATTAAATCATAATAATTCGTGTTTATTTTTACCTCAAATCAAAGATTCAGACGGGGAAAAAAATAATAAAACTTGCTAGCTGTGAATAATTGAATGAAGCCGATCGACGAAGCAAGTTTGAACTTTGACCTCAACCACTCTCTTAATAAATTTGGCAGTCGAGGCCATGAATGCATTTAAACTGAATTGAATGAATGCATACAAAGGTCAAGTTGTTTTTTTAAACAATATTGAAGGTGTAGGCTGTCGATGGAGTGTTTAAGATTTCTGCAATTGAATATACAGTTCGTGTTATTTTTAAATTCGTCTGCTGAAATTGCATCTGCTATCTCAATACAGTCAAAGTCTGCATGCACAATTTTTTGTTAAATTATGTGTTGCTATGCAACAAACGTTGAAAATAAGAATTTGGATCAATAAAAAAACTACTGCTGTTCCATTTCCTATTGAACTCAATTATTATAGAATATGCAACTGCCTTTTTTTTCTACTCAATATTGCTTGAGTTTTGTTCAATTTTTTCTTATTTTCTCTTTTAAGAAAAAATCTTAAGGCCTACCATTAAATATTATAGATAGATCTGTCCTTTTTAACAAAAAATCTTAAGCCCTACCATTAAATATTACAGATAGATCTGTCCTTTTTAACAAAAAATCTTAAGGCCTACCATTAAATATTATAGATAGATCTGTCCTTTTTAACAAAAAATCTTAAGGCCTACCATTAAATATCATAGATAGATCTGTCCTTTTTAACAAAAAATCTTAAGGCCTACCATTAAATATTACAGATAGATCTGTCCTTTTGTAGAAAAAATCTTAAGGCCTACCATTAAATATTATAGATAGATCAGTCCTTTTGTAGAAAAAATCTTAAGGCCTACCATTAAATATTACAGATAGATCTGTCCTTTTGTATAAAAAAATCTTAAGGCCTACCATTAAATATCACAGATAGATCTGTCCTTTTTAACAAAAAATCTTAAGGCCTACCATTAAATATCATAGATAGATCTGTCCTTTTCTACAAAAAATCTTAAGGCCTACCATTAAATATTTTGGACAGACATCAAAGATTTACCCCCTAGTTTGTAAAATCATTCTTTAGCTTATTTGAAGACTACCATGAAAAAAGTTTTAATCCTTTTTTCAAAAACATGTTTTTTTGTGCAAAGTGAAATAAGTTTGGTTAAAATCAAAGTTTTTATATTTGTTTGGAAAGACATTTTTGAATTATTTAAATGTATATCTGCTTGAATAAACCAAAACTAGGTCAAACTGCATAATTACCATTAGTACCTTCCATTTTTAATTAACACTTTTAAAACAAATTCAATTTGATCAAGAAGATACATAGATGTAAATAACATACTTTAGAAATATTTTCAGGTATAATTTACGATGATGTTGTTGATAATGAAGTTTTTGCCCCTTTAAAGCGACATTCCGTTTTTTGGTAAAAAGTTTTCTGTATGAAAAAACGTTGTAAATTATAACTGAAAATATTTCTAAAGTATGCTATATATATCTAGGTATCTTCTTGATCAAACTAAATTAATTTTAAAAGATGTTAAATTCAATTTGGTGTTTGGCTTTATAATGGCTCAATATTATTAGTTAAAATCTTTAAAATACGTAGGAGACATATTTCTCTACAATAAGGCGTTAATTTTACTCCAATCCGTATACTAGTATTCTGACAGCTTCCAAAAAAGCATAACTAACTTTATAACCTTACGCAATATTTTTAAATATTTTTTATGCTAAAAAATAACTGCCGGATTTTGTTCAGTTTCAACTTTCAGATAAGCTTTTGAGCTAAAAAATTTTTCAACCTTCAAAAAAAGCAGAATGTCCCTTTAAGGTGGACAGCCTGCAGCACACGAAGCTTTGGTTTATTGTCGCATCCAAACGTCTAGGCGTTTGATCCTTCTGTCTTGCATCACTGACAGTGGGAAAATGAGCACCCCAGTTGACAGTCTTCTTTTAATCAATATCTGCAGGCTTTTTTTTTCATTTCTCTTTTATTACATTTTTTCTTTTTTTAGAATTTTTAGTAAAATTTAATAAAACTTTATTCGATAAATAATATGACATTTTATTGGAATTAGTTCTTTCATTTTCTATTTATGATTTTTTAAATAATGAATTGACTAGTCTAGACATATATGCACTATTAGTTCATAGCTCTCAAATTCAGTGACTGTGCACTTTAAATATCCCTGGACAGTTGGAAATTGAAAAATTGAGAAGGCTAATGTTGCTCTCCTGGCAAAATTTCCCTCATTGCACACTGCATGGCATTGTCCATTAAGTGACTAACAGTGAGAGGTAAAACTCCATTCATTTCATTTCTCAAATTCAGCCATCTGTATCCCTTTTCATAATTACAATATGATGTCTCCCCCATCGTCTTCAGGCACATAATGAGAAGAAGTGATGGGCAAACTATATATACATTAATGCTTAATGAGGAGGAGGATGAGGGAAAAACGTCGAAACGTTGCATAAAACTTTAACCAGTGATTGTTGTTCCATAAAGCTGTGTCTATATATAATATAGGTAACCTTACAAAAATGTCTCTGTCCTGGCAAAATGTCCCTCATTGCACACTGCACGGTGTTAATAAGCCCAAAAAGGTGCAAAAGAGTATGGGGTAAAACTCCATTCATATTTTTAGCTACAGATGACAAACACAGCCTAGCAAACAACTGAAGTGTACACACGTTCTGTTCAGTTCAGTGCACAGTTCCGCTAGCATTCTGCAACATATCATTGAAATGAAAGGCAGACATTTTTTCCCCCGCAAATATGTCGATATTGTTAGGTGAACACGCGATTCTGAAATTTAAATATGAGAGACTGGTCATTCAGGACTACAAGTGTTTGTATACAAATACAACAAAACCTTCATAAGATATATACTCAAACTGATAATAAAATGTATCATTGGATAACCAATAGTCATAAACTAGCAGTAAATGCATAACTAAGTGACAGTAAGTTACAAAGCTAGGGACTGTATTTTAGTCGCATTATTACTATCACTAGACAAATCACTGCTAAATACTGGTAGTGAAGAGTCTCGCCCAAGAAGACCCAACTAAATCAACCATTCATTACAAAGTCAGAATCCCCTTTAAGGAAACAGCCGAGGTTTGGTACCTTAGTGCTAAAATCAGCTTGAGTAATTGATTATTATCAATGTAAAGTTTGATGGTTGAACGCAAACCAAACAAACAGTAAATTGATATGAAAATGTAACTCGATGCTTTAATTCACTATTTTTTGACACTCCTGTCAAACTACAAATTAAAAAGAATGAAACAACTATTTTGGTTACAAGGAAATGTCTTAAGGTCACTACGATCCTTTCTACCAGCTGATCCTTTGCCGCACCTCTTGGTATTGATCTTTCTTAGATTATCTGTACCCATTTACAGCTGGGTCAACTGGAATAATGAGGATCCTTTCTACCAGCTGGTCCTTGGCCAATCCTCTTGGTATTGATCTTTCTCAGATTATCTGTACCCATTTACAGCTGGGTCAACTGAATAATGAGGATCCTTTCTACCAGCTGGTCCTTGGCCACACCTTTTGGCATTGATCTTTTACAGATTATCTGTACCCATTTACAGCTGGGTCAACTGGAATAATGAGGATCCTTTCTACCAGCTGGTCCTTGGCCAATCCTCTTGGTATTGATCTTTCTCAGATTATCTGTACCCATTTATAGCTGGGTTGACTGGAATGATGAGGAATGATTACTTCTTGAAGGTCAAACAACTTTCACATGCTGACCAAGATTAAAATAAACCACTACTATTTGTTTGATTAAACCTTGCAAATGATGTCAAGGAAAGATTTCATCACTCTTATACACTGTGCTACAGTCCATCCTTATGAGAGTTACAGAAGTTAAAGGATAAGTTGATAATTTGGCAGCAATATCCCTTCAATCAATCAACATAGGATATAAATAATCAAATAATCTAATTCCTTTAGAAACAGGAATTAAAGAACAAGTCAAAAAAAAAAAAGTTTCAAAAAAATCTTGAGTCAATAATTTGATGATGATATCCCTTACAACATTCTAAATAAGATACTATATAATTAGATGAGATAATCCCTTTAAATACAAGATAATTGTAAGACAGTCCATATAAGGCAAAAAGTTTAAAAAATCTGACACCAAAAATCTGATTACAATATCCCTTTAAGCATTCTTATATGATATATATAATTACATGACACCATCCCTTTAATCCCAGGAATTTAGTTCAAAGACAAGTTCCTTACCATCTCTTGGCACTACTTATGATGGATTGATGTTTAAAAATCTTACACCACTAATTTGATGGTATCCCTTTAAGCACTAATTACAAGATACAATCCCTTTAATTGCAGGAATTCAATACAAGTAAAAAAAAAAGTTCCTTACCATCTCTTGGCATTACTGATGATGGATTGAAGATTAAAATTCAGATATTTCATGATTTTTCAACAATTGCTATCCTAATTTCAACGCAGTAGTCACGACGACATCACAAAATTGACACCTGCCATTCGTAGTACAGCAAAAATAACAAGTTCAGTCCTTTTTTTTCCCAATCATTAAAATAACAGAAATTGAAAATATCAGATATATTCGAGAGTTTTTATAAATATCTACGTTCAAGTTGACTTTAATAGTCACATGACAAATCGTTTTGCTCTAAAAAAAGAAACCATAATGAAAAGGCTGAAGTTGTTTTTTTTTTTGAAAAGCGCGAAACAGAATTATTATATTTGTTTTGAAATATGTACTGGTGAGATATTAGGCCTATTTTTAACTTCAGTTGTCATTGCCCTGAGGAAGAGAATAATAGCAATGTCATGACGACCCAATCTCAAAATATGTTAAAAATTCTTCGAAGATCTGCTAAGATCTACCAGTTTTTTTGGTTTATTTCATTAGAAATCATTCAAAAATGATATAAAATTTTTGAAAATCGATAGCACTGTTTCATAAGCTTAGAAATTACAGAATTGCTTTTGTCCTTTAACTTTACCATTAGTATATATTTAAAAAGGTTGCTTTGACCTGCTGGAGGTTTTTTTAATTTTTAAACTAGGTTAATATGAATACAGTGTAGGCTATAGACAGGTTGGTTAAATTAGCCTGCTTGCCTTCTCAATAAACCTTCGATATCAGATATTGAGGGAAGTGCTTGTAACAACAATATATCATTGAAATTTCAAAAGCACAGACAGAGGAGAAAATTCAGAAACACCAATTAGTGTTATATGCAGAAAAAAATGGAGGTGAGAGCCTACATTGGGCAGACTCTCAGGAGCACTGGCACATGCATCAGAATTTTTATCACCTTGTCCAGGATTCAAACCCACAACACCTAAATCGCCTAGCAGACAACAATCCAACTTGCTATTAATTTTGCCTCTAGTTTGTTACATTCATGCTTATTAACTATCAATAATTGCATAATACAAACAGCCTCGTCCAATTCTCCCTTACTGCTTTCAAAATGAAATGATTTAGAGTTTTACACTATAGGGCCTTCTATTCTGTACATTATAAGATATAGTAATTTTCAAGCAATGGTTGATGAAATGAAATTAAATAGAGTTTTACACCCAACCTTACTAGATGTAGTAATTTCTATGCACGTGGTTATGGCATTTTTTTAAGGCCTAAAGCAAATTAAAAATGAAATGAAATGGAATTTTACACCTTTTTAATCGTTAATGAACTTTATCAATTGAGACAAGCTGGCTTGAACCCCCTTTTACACCCTTCGTTGTATTTCTAGATGGTAAATGAACTTTCTTAATATGGACAGGCTGGTTTAAACCCCCTTATAGCTTGCCAGGCAAGGTAACATATGCCCACTGGCAGCTGTCAGAAATGATAAAACAGTATTAAAGCACTAAAGTATGAATTTTCTCATGTCAAAGAAATTTTAATAGTTTGAATTCAATGATATATATATTAACTGCCAGTTATTCATGCTGAGAAATTCCACCAAGTTTTTAAATACAGCCAACAGAGTAAAACGTCAAGTCAGACACAATTATTCAGTGAAAAATTATACGATCATCACGAAAATCGATAGGGATCATCTTCATAATGACATTGACATACAAAATCAAAATCAAAATCAAAAGAATCTGTAAAGAATTGTAGCCTGTAGAGTGAGCATGAACCAAATCTGAACGGACGGATCGACAGGATGATTACAATATACGCCCATCTTATGTGTGGGCGTATAATGAAATGAAATGGAGTTTTACACCCTACGTTGTATTTTTAAATGGTAAATGAACTTTCTTAATATAGGCAAGCTTGTGAAACTTGCCTTACTACTTTAGTATATTAAAAATTGAAATGAAAGGGAATTTTACAAACTACTTTTCTTTCCATCAATATTCTTATAAAATATTTATTGAATTTTTTTTAATACAACAGGCTGGTCCGATTTGCCCTACTACTTTTAACTATTAAAAATGATAGGAAATGGAGTCTTACTCCCTACTATTGTATATAAATATTTCTTTATTTATTTATGATTACCAACTTTTATTTGAAAACTGTTTTTGGATAGACGCAATTTGTAACTGTCACTTGTTTAAATATCCAAATTTCTTAACGATCCAATAACCAATGAAAACAAACCATTTGGCATCAAAACATCAAAATCTGCAATAAAAAAATTCTTGATCATGTGACCAAATAGACATTAAACGCCTTCAAAGAAAGAGAGCAACGTACCGCTGTGTGAAATAAAACAAAGTAATAAAAACGAAAATAATTTTACGCCCAATTTTGGTTTACTCCTTTTAATATAGTATAGTTATATTCATACTATTGAAAAAAAAACAAACAAAAGATCTAAAAATCAACGCTTCGAGCGACTGTGTTACTTTGACTTTCAACACAAACAAATAGTGCAAAAATGACTGTAGGCAATAACGAATGCAAATTTGTCTTTTGTCTAGAATGTTATGAAAGGTTTAAAATCACATAGTTTGTGCATGGTACAATACATCTTCACAATGTCAAGTCATAACGACCTTTGGCGCTTATTCCTAACTGCAATAGCGGCCTTTCATGCATCAGGGAATTCAGCGATTTGATATGACTGTATGCTTGCAAATACAGCCAATCAGAGCCCTTGATAGACTGTAAACATTATGGCTTAGTGTCGAGATCACTGATTGGCTGTATTTGCTGGCATACAATCCAATTGTATCATTGCATTTACAAACATCTGTGATACAAAGTGGCTATTAAAGTCAAGGTATAAGCTGAAGAGTGAAGATGAGACACAAGAAAGGTGGCTATTAGAGTCAAGGTATAAGCTGAAGAGTGAAGATGTGATACAAGAAAGGTGGCTATTAGAGTCAAGGTATAAGCTGAAGAGTGAAGATGTGATACAAGAAAGGTGGCTATTAGAGTCAAGGTATAATCTGAAGAGTGAAGATGTGATACAAGAAAGGTGGCTATTAGAGTCAAGGTATAAGCTGAAGAGTGAAGATGTGATACAAGAAAGGTGGCTATTAGAGTCAAGGTATAAGCTGAAGAGTGAAGATGTGATACAAGAAAGGCGGCTATTAGAGTCAAGGTATAAGCTGAAGAGTGAAGATGTGATACAAGAAAGGCGGCTATTAGAGTCAAGGTATAAGCTGAAGATTGTAATAACTTGACATTGTGAGGATGAGACACAAGAAAGGTGGCTATTAGAGTCAAGGCTGATCACTTGACATTGTGAAGATGGGTGCTATGAAATAGAAGTGAATAAGTAGACAACCCATCTATCAACATCAATACAATGGGACTTTTTATTTTGTGTCGATTTAGAAACTATTTTGACCTTGAGTTGTTTTGTTTCATAGACCTTGCAAACTTGTCTCAAAGTGCAGACAGCAACATAAGCCTTATAGCTTAAAAAAAGAATAAAAGCATCACTACAAAAGAAACCTACTGAGGACAAAGAAAAATATCTTAGAGAGAGGAAAGTACTATTGATTTCTTTCGTTTCATTTTTAAAAAATCTGTGATTCCATAATTTTGACGTCAACAAAAATTCTGCTTAATTGAAATATTTTGTAGTATGAAATCTGCAATCCTAAAAAACAATTCTAATTTCAGCGCAAATTTTTATAAGTGGTAGGGCAGTTGGGATTTAAAACCCACCCCTTCATGGGTTGAGGTGTCATGATATTTCAATGAAAGTGACCTTGACATTTGACGATAATGACATGTTTATCTATATTTGTATGATCTTCCTCATTTATTCTTAATCTCAAACAATAATGTCTTTGAAAAAAATGTCTGTCAAAGCAGTTAGAAATGTTTGTTCGACGCCATTTTCTTTGTTATGTCAAACAAATGGTGGATGTGGATTCTAATTTCAGTCAGTGTGTCATAGTCTGATCTTTCTTTCTTATTCATGTTAACCCAGCGCTATGAATGTGTATAGATACTGTGGGGAAGATCAATGCCAAGGGGTTTGGCCAAGGACAAGTCCATGTTCATCAAACTATAAATGGGTTCTGATAATCCAGGATCACACCAAAATTTGACTAAGGACAAGTTGGTAGACGGGTCCTCATTAACCTAAATTGTTATCCTCATAACAATGGTTGTTTCCTTCTTAATTTCATTTTATTTCCAACACGAGTCTCAACCACAATAGGGACTGGTTGAGCCAAGACCCTTCGTTCCCCATCCAAAATAAAAAAAGTAGGAAAGCATATGTTTAACAAAAACTCCTTGGGGGGAGTGGCCCCCTACCACTTAGGTCAACAAGCCCCAACTTATCTATTTGTTCCACTGATTTCAGAAAGTAGGATGTAAAACTAATTTCTACGACATCTGAAACCCTGAAAACCGTATTCCACTGTCTTTATAGCAGGAAGTAAGTCTAGGGCGTAACTGACTGATGGGATCTGCACATGCAAGTGGGTGCCATAAAAATGCAGCCACAATATCAATGTCAAAGCATCCTTGTAGTCAAAGCTAATTCTTAATTAGCTCAGTATACAGCAACCTTGAGCCTTTATCATTTTACCATTCTAGTATTTCATAAATAAGAAATCTTATACTTCCGTCATGTCAGAACCATTTGACAATAAATCTACCGTGTTAACTAAAGGAAGATTTCATCATGGGGGCAAGTCTGTTACATTTGGTTAATAATATTAAGAAAAATTATACACAATACATGAGTCCAAACCTTAGTGACTTGGCAAGGATTTCATTTACAGTGGGAACCATCTGAGCACCTTGACATGCCTTTGTGGACCCTTTGAGTACCATCCTTTAATCAAAAATCAAAGGATTTAAAAAGCCAAAAAGAAAAAAAAGAGACCACTCACAGCAATAATCCAAACGGTTTCTAAATGAAGGTGGTCTCATCATTATAATCGTCATTATAATTATCATTATTATTATCATCATTATTATCATTATTATCATTATTATTATTATCATTATTATCATCATTATTATTATTATTATCATTATTATCATTATTATTATCATTATTATTATCATTATTATCATTAATATTATTATCATTATTATTATCATTATCATTATTATCATTAATATTATTATCATTATTATTATTATTATTATTATCATTATTATCATTATCATTATTATCATCATTATCATTATTATCATTAACATTATTATTATTATCATTATTATTATCATTATTATTATTATCATTATTATTATTATCATTATTATTATCGCCATTAATATTATCATAATTATTATCATTATTATCATTATTATTATTATTATCATTATTATTATTATCATTATTATTATTATTATCATTATTATCATTATTATTATCATTATTATTATTATTATCATTATTATTATTATTATCATTATTATTATTATTATTATCATTATTATTATTATTATCATTATTATCATTATTATTATCATTATTATTATTATTATCGCCATTAATATTATCATAATTATTATCATAATTTTCATCATTATTTGTATTATGATCATCCTCATAATTTTTATTTTTATTATCTTAATCATTATTATCATAAATAATCATAATTTTACTCATTATTAATATTATTTTTTTCATCATCATTATAGTTATTATTAATATCATTTCATCATTATCATTATTATCATAATTATTATTATCATTGTACCATTTTAAGTGGGTGATTTGAGTGTTGAATATATGTAAATATTCTTCAGAAATGTATGAAAATCCCATAATTCCTTCAAAGATATCTCAAACTAGGAATTTCTTTGCCTAGTTTTTCTATATATGGCATTGTCTGCAGATGACTTGTCTTGTAAACTTTCAAACACAGATAATTCTGGACACACATGGATTTGAAGGCTCTAATTTCGAAGGTGAGCTGTGAACACTATTACTGATTGAATTAGCTAAAAAATTATCCTTTCTGAGACTAAGGTATGATTGGTCAAAAAAATGGCGCATATGTTCCTTTAACATTTTATAATTTTCATCCTCATTATAATTAAAAGTACAATCATTATCATTGTAATATGACAAAAAAATAGATTCAAATTATAATAGCAACGCTTTGTCACATGAAAAGCAAAAACGACTATATATAAAATGTCAATTATTTCAAATAATTGTTGCTTATTTTCCAGAAGCGAAGAAAAAAAAAATTCTTTTTTCAATCATTCTAAAATAATAATAAACCCCAGCTGTCAAGATTCTAGATTATTCGATTTTTGTTTTAAATTCCAGATCTCTATAAAAAAAGAGCAAATGGAATGAAAAAACCAAATTTTGAAAAAAAAGGAATCATAGCAAAATATAAATGAATATTTCGACAGATGTATGAGCTATGCAGACGATCTTTCTGATCAGGGTTCTGAGCTTGTCAGTCTTATCAAACTCTGATTCCTTTCATTTCGTTTTTTTTTTATTAGATTTTATTTTTAATATAGTCACTTCAGTTTGGGTCTAACTACAGTCCTCTGGAACATTCGTCAAATTAACCTTTTGACCCAACTCACTGCTTTAACCAATCAAACTTGTAGCCTCTCCAGAGTTGGCATTTTGTGATGCGTTCTCTATCAGGGTAGGTAAAAAGATTAATGAACATTCCAGAGGGCTGTTGTTGTTTCTTTAAAAACAGAACTACGATTTTTAATTAGGCTACAGCAGGCATAACAACACTTCAACGACAAGATTATCACATTGGTGACAGAATCTAAAATATCAAACCAGTTTGATAATTGTCACTGATTATTTTATCGTCTGCAATCCAATCAGATTCATTTTACTTTCAATCGTTTGATCCGCACGTAATTATCGACATAGTGGAAAAAAACTGACTGAAGATTTATGTCTCCTCGTGTGCGCACAGCTGTTCGGTGAAACTCTTAACAGGACTCTAGTCGACAACAAATATGGCTGACCGAGGCCATTCGTATGCTCCCAGCATAAGAGGACTTGAAGGAACTTACATGGATTTGGAGAATGATGAGGCGACATCTATCAGCGGGTTGGATTGATGCAGTCTTAAGGAATTAAGGTACATAAACATGGCATCATGGCGAAGCATTTGGAAGACTCTGGCTCCACCTGGTTCCTATGGAAACGGGTTACAGCAGACACGACAGTTCCTCTCACCCTCCAGTCCTTTCCTGCAATATAAAAAACAGGATTTCTGATTAATTTGAATTTGCCAGACATTCTAATTGGGATCTTAATACCAGAATGCTCGGCAATGAAATATACACCCACTTTTAACAGCAACTCTCATCATAAATACTTTGGCGTAAAATAATATGGTTATTTTTTTTTATTTTGAACTTTTGATATCCAAAAGGATAGAGTTTACTTCTATCCTTGCAAAATTTCATTGCACACTGCATGGCCCTATCAGAAGCCTCATAAAACTCATTTCAATTTCTGGCTCAGAACATGGAAGCATATGTTATTCAAATGAAATGAAATGAATGAAGTTTTAAAGGGACAGGTGGGTCATTTTTTCGACCCATAATACTTTAGTTTCAGAAAAACTTGAATTTTTTAGCTGAGCTAATCAGTAATAGTGTTCACAGCTCACCGTTGAAATTTCAGCCTTCAAATCCATGTGTGTCCAGAATTATCTGTGTTTGAATGTTAAAATGATGACTCAACTTAAGATACTCTGTGATATATAGAAAAGACATCTATAGAAATAGTGAGTAAAATTGCTAGTTTGAGATAATTTGAAAGGAATTGAGCAAATATCATACATTTCTAGTACTTCTGTATTTACATATATTCAAAATTAAAATCAACCTTCCCCCCCTCTCCGAAATGCTGCATCTGTCCCTTTAAGTCCTACTTTTCTGACGTGACGTCACCCTTCCAACTTCAATGACATCATTATGTTTTTATACATTTTTTGATAGTTCCATACAAGGATATACATGTATTATAAAATAAATAAATAAATAGAATATGAAGAATTAAAAATATTAGCTACTAAATCCGACTAAAACATATAAACCATATGTTCAATACAAGATGGTGCGCATTGCATATAGCCATGTACAGGTGCAGCAACACTTAAATATTATTCATCAGTCAAAAATTATTGAGTTTGTGATAGTAACATCATAATCAATGACAGACACCAAAGACAAGGCAGTCAAAAACATAGGAAATTCAAAAATGGTGGCAATAGAAACTATGTATGGTAATATGAAATAAAAAAGTTAGAAACCTTGTTTGTTAGTTGGTAGATGACAAGCTAACGTCAGCTGCGTTATTGATTTGAGTAAAACACAATTACACACTTATAGTATTGTTAACAAAAATGCGATTAATATCAGTATCAAAAATTACACTTTTCAGTCCTTGTTTACTCACAAGTAGTGTTAATATTGTTATCAAAAATACCACTGTTCAATACTGCTAAACTCACTAGTATTGTTAATACAAATGTTGTTAATCTTAGATCAAAAATTACACTGTCCAGTACTATATTCACTAGTATTGTCAATACAAATGTTGTTAATCTTAGATCAAAAATTACACTGTTCAGTACTATATTCACTAGTATTGTTAATACAAAACTATCAAAAATGCCACTGTTCAGTCCATGCCTACTCACAAGTATTTTTAATATCAGTCCCAAAACCACCACTACTCTCAAGTATTGTTTACATAAATGTTGTTAATTCTAGCATCCAAAATTACATACAGTACTTGTTAACTCACTAGTATTGTTTTAACAAATGTTGTTAATCTAACACTGATCTGTGCTTTACTCACAATTACTGTTAATATCATTATCAAAAATACCACTGTTCAATACTGCTAATCTCACTAGTATTGTTAATACAAATGTTGTTAATCTTAGATACAAAATTACACTGTCCAGTACTATATTCACTAGTATTGTTAATACAAATGTTGTTAATCTTAGATCAAAAATTACACTGTTCCATACTACATTCACTAGTATTGTTAATACAAATGTTGTTAATCTTAGATCAAAAATTACTCTGTTCAGTTCTATATTCACTAGTATTGTTAATACAAATGTTGTTAATCTTAGAAACAAAAATACCACTGTTCAGTACTGCTATACTCACTGGTAATGTTTATACAAATGTTGTTAATAGTAAATTACATTATATTATTAACTGTAATCCATATTAACATAGCAAATGAAGTAGGTCCAAAATAAATAAGTAAAAATAAGCAAAGTAAAGTGTGAAATTAGCTGTATGGTAAATAATAATTGATAATTAATTTGTTGATTAGGCAATAAAAGGGATACCATCATCTATGTATGTCATATGTCAGATAATAAACTTCAATATCTTTCATCTGTATCACTATTTAAAGGGACTAGTGCGCCTTTTTGGGGGGTTGATTTTAATCTTGAATATATGTAATTAGTCTTTAGAAGTTGTAAGGTTGTACTACAGAATCGCATAATTCCAATAAAAAATAATCACTTTTCCTAAATATGTCTTTTTTTTAAATATCACAAAGTATCTTAAATTGACAAGCTGTCATTTTAACATTCAATTGCGGATAATTCTAGACACACATGGATTTGAAGGCTGTGAACACTATTACTGACTAGCTTAGCTAAATAATTCCTCTTAAGTATGATTGGTAATAAATAAATGGCGCACCTGTTCTTTCAAAATCAGAATAGAGCGCCAGTTAAGGAAAGGAAAAATTGAAAAAAAGGGTAACAACTTAAGTTCACAGTTAAGGATTTTTTCTACCAGCAGGTCTGCGACCAAACCTCTTGGCATTGATCTTTCTTGTATTATCCATACCCATTTATAGCTGGGTCGAATTATGAGTGAAAATGACTTATTCAAGGTCATCTGACTTTCTCACGCCGATTGAGATCAGAACCCATAATCACCATAACATAACCATCAGTAATTTAACAAAAATCTAAACATCTTTCAAAGTAGCTCTCTGTATCCCTTTTCAAAATGAAATACTGTTGTTATATCATATGAAAATAAAGGGATCTTGCCATCAAATTTTGTTCTTAAAGGGATTGTCAAGATGTTTTCTAAATTTTTTAAGTGTATCGAAGACACTGATAGAATCAATTTGCATCAACTGAATTTTTAGTCAGACATGTCTGGTATTTTTTATTCAAGAAGAACCCACACATGACTCAGTGTTATGTAACTTAACCTTTTAAAATTTTTGAGGACATTTTCCAAAAAACAAAAAAAAACTAAAATTTCTATTTATTCAAATGTGATAAAGGTTAAACTGTCCCAGCATGACAGAGCTCTTAAAATTGAAAGACAGTTTTAATCATTTCAAATGAAGCCCCTCCCACCATATCAATAAAAATCAAAATGTACTCTGGTACTGAACAGTTAGAGAAAGAAATCAATCTTGAAGGATTAAAATATGACAAGTTTAAAGTTGGAGATAACGTCGCCAATCTTCTGAATATATCGTGCACATATTTATTTGCAGTAAATTCCTCAAAATCAGTTAGTCAGTACACAAACTCTATGGAGTTCACAAGCTTCTGTCTTTCAAAAGGGACAAGGAATCATGTATAATAAAAATTCCCAAAAGTTGGAGGTCAAAGTCCTGTTTTTCTCCTTCTGCTGGTATATAGGGCTGGAGAAAATAGTTCAAGACAAACTTGCCAGATATTTGTTCTGTAATTCCAGATTATCATGGGGTGCCATAATTTATTTTGAAAATTGAACTGCATTGAGCGCTATCAGCTTGTACAGCAAATATTTAGACTACCATACAGATAGCTGAAATTGAGCTTTATCAGCTGGTAAAGCCAATAGGCAATATTTAGATGAATATACATATAGTTGAAATTGAGCTCTATCAGCTGCTAAAGCAAATATTTAGACAACTATACTAATAACCTGAATTAAGCTCTATCAGCTTGTAGAAAATATTAAGACGACTATATCGACAGCTTAAATTGAGCTCTAAACAATTATCTAGATGACTATACTGACAGCTTAAATTGAGCTCTAAACAATTATCTAGATGACTATACTGACAGCTTAAATTGAGCTCGTGAGGCAAATATTTAGAAGACTATATATCTGTAAGCTGAAAACTCTATCAGCTGGTACAGATAATATATAGATGACTATATAAATCTATTTAAAACTATATTTCATATCCTTATATATATTTTTCAATTAAAAAACTCATAAACATGTAGGACTGTATCATTTAACACATTCACACCTACGCAAACACAAACATATTGAATATCCAAATCTGGGCTTAACATGTATTTATTATGTTAAATCATAACAATCTAAAAATAACCATTTAAAAAGTTTTGACTAAAAAATTCAAATTTCAACATTTGAGTACTGGTATTACGATCATTGGAACACTGTGATATATTGTAAGCTTTCAAAATCCTCTATGTGTCTTAATCTTCGTGTACCAACAACAAAATATAAAATATTTGCGGAGAAATTATTCAGTGCAACAGGACCACAGTTATGGAAAAAGTTACCTGAACAGTTTAAAACCTGCCAATCTGTTGACTCTTTTAAGAAAAAGGTAAAAACACATCTTTTTGGAAGGACGTTTACATGTTCGTTGAATACTCCTTTTAGAGTAGTAATGAGTGCGATACCAAGTACAATAATTGTAATCTTAATCTTCAAGTTTTTAAGATTATGTTACGCAGTACAATAAGGCTACCCTAAATTTTGGTTATAAAAGCGAAAGTACAAATTATATCATGTTGGCTGCCAACTAGGCACACAATGTATGACCATCCCTACCTAATCCTAACAAAGTCACTTGATAGCATTCTCAACAATTAAAATGGCTTCATATAGACAGGGAAACAATCCATTGCCCATGCACAACACAAATGAAGCTCTCTCATTGGCTGCTAATGATAAAAGATGGAAAACAAAGACTATAGCTGTCATGACGATGCAAATAGCCAGTGCACAAAATCTAATAGGTGTAAAAGAGGTGTAACATAGCAAAAAATAAAATTGACT